TGTGACAGAGTAACAATGCAGGAGCACAACCAAGAGACAGTTGTCACCCCATAGTAGCAAGTGCCTGAACATGGCAAGTTCACCAGGTATTACTTTAATGAAAGCTGCATATTTAAAAAGACTGAACACACATTTTGAGAATACATGTATCACGTTATAGCTTATATTAGATTTTAGTTATTTGGTTTAGATATACTTTAAATCTGGGTTTCTCAACCAGGGTTCCTCCAAAGGTTGACAGGAGTTCCTTTAGCAATAAAAAACTTCTGCCTATCAAACAGGTTCCCACTCACACCATTGATCTTTTTAGCTATCTGTAAGGGGGATAATTATTCCCAATGACTACAAATGTAAGGAGCATTCTTCCCACTGGCCATCACACTAATGTATCACGAATTGTGGATACGGTAATTTTTCGCAAGATTCTCTGAGACCGGGGAGTTATTTCAAGGGTTCCTCTGTGTTGAAAAGGTTGGGAAAGGTTTCTTTAAATATCGAGTATGGTCTGCTTCTATTTCCTGACTCAGCTACAGTTGTGCTTTCATTACTTCCTAATGGAACCAGAATTATGACTTGAGCTCCTGTATCATTTAATTTGGACATAAGTCCACCAAAGGACAGATGAGACAGAGCAACCCAATATTATTATTATTATTATACAGGATTTATAAAGCACCAACAGTTTGCGCAGCGCTTTACAAAATTAAGGTAGACATTACACAGTTACAACACAATTTGGTACAAGAGGAAACAGAAGTCCCTGCTCATTAAAGATTACAATCTAGGAAGGATTGAATGATACAACAAAATGTAATAGCTGTTGGGGGTGAGCTGATGGAGGAAATAAAAGGCAGTTTACTAGTTAGAAGCAGAATAGGCTTCTTTAAAGAGAAGGGTTTTCCAGGATTATCTAAAGGTCAAAAGATTAGGAGATAGCCAGACAGATTGGGGTAGGGAGTTCCATAGGATGGGAGAAGCTCAGAAGAAGTCCTGCAAGCAAGCATGGGAGGAGGCGACACGGGTACCTGAGAGCAGGAGGTCTTGGGAGGATCAAAGAGAGTGGTTTGGTTGATATTTTGAGACCAGGTTGGTGATGTAGCTGGAGTTGTGGATGGCTTTGTAAGTTGTTGTTAGTATTTTGAATTTTATTTGTTGGGCAAGTGAAAGCCAGTGGAGGGATTGGAAGCCTGTGGTGCCTTGAGGTTTCTTCAGGGGTGCCTTGGCAAAATGTCTAAAAAACTGCCCAAAACCTGTATACAAGCCAGGGGGTGGAACCAGCCTGCCTAATAGTTACACAAAGCCACAGGTTTTTATTGTGCACCATTACCACCTTCTAGCCACCTGTGGCCTGATAGCCAATGACATCATCAATCGATAAGGAGGATGTTGGTTGCCTGCACAGCATCCTAGGTTGACTCTCCCCCACCCCTCTCTGTCAGTGCTGGGGTCGTATTAACTCAGTGATTGAGAAAAACTTAGAGAGAACAGAAACATTGGAATACTACTCAGTACCAGTGTGCAAAAGTGTATTTTGCTTTGAAAGAATAAATCACCTCTAATGTTGGGTGTCCTACATGTGTGGATGTTGCTGCTTATATAAAACTACTAGAATAGTTTTTCCCATTTTGGAATGGGGTGCCTTTTTAAAATTATGGACAGTCTTGAGGCACCCCATTTTAGAATGGGGTGCCTCGGGAGTGTCAATAATTTTAAAGGGTGCCTCGGGAGTGTCCATAATTTTAAGGGGTGCCTTGACTGAAAAAAGGTTGAAAAACACTGTCTTAGCTCATCACAATCTGCTTTTGCTGCATAGTATACAACAAGACAGGGCCAACAATTCAAGGCACATATGCCACCGTGGCACATTTTTAGGGACACCCAGGCTACCAATAGTCATAAATCGTCTAAATTATTGACATTTCTCATTAAAGTATATTTGTAGTAAAGTGGGTTAAATATTATTTAGTGTGTTGTGTAGTGAGTTTACCAGACAAATTGTTATATTTAAAAAAAATGTCTTTGCACATATGTGTGAACAGGTTTTTCACACCTGAAGGGGTAAATCCTAACTCAATGGTTTGGTGAGCTTTAAATAGTTTGTTTGGACCAAGCCTTTACTTATACATGCAGCGGCTGTCAGTGCTGTATGAACTGCATGTAGCCTCAGCTGTACGACACTGTGTTGCAGCAGCCAGATGGGGACTTTCCTTTCTGCTCCCAAAGCAAAATTGAGTCGGACTTGGTCCAAACAAACTATTTAAAGTTCACTAAAACATAGAATTAAAGTGTTGCTAAACCTACAACAGAAAAATCAGTCTGTATATGCAGTAAAGCATGCTTGTTATACTCATTGTGGAACCTAAGGGGTTAACCCTCTGCATTGTGCAAAAAGGCCGTTTGATCCTGACTTCTCTGCTTCTCCACTTGTTCAAATGTCCACGTATTATCTCCTGATAAAACATAATGAACTGTAGCCATTCTGCAAATGCTCAGTTTAGTGAGTATTGCTAGAGAGGTTTTTTTTTTTTCTTAAATTCTTGGGAGAGTGCATGTGATCAGTACAGGGACAATCATCACTGTCCAGATAGAGGTCAGGGGTTCTGCATCCTCCTAGAGTAGAAAGAAAACTCCTCCTACAAGCTTTAACCAGTGCTCTGCTGAACACTGATAGAAGTCACAAGACTGTTCTAACTGCTGATGAGAAAGGGCATTTAGCAGTTTATATTTACTAAAATAATTGCACTTCCATGTTCTGTGTACTGCGGGAGACCAGATATAGTGAATACAGGGTCCTGGGTTTAATAACACTTTAAGTCCATATCAAAGCCGACTTACACTAGATAGTTCAGCATGTACAGCTGAAATGAACATCCTACAGACTGGACGTAGCAAAACAATGCAATGAAAGACAGTGACAGGGATCACACTGTCAGGCTAGTTTACAGTTTACTACTCGTTAACAGTAAAAATGATTATGTTTTATGTGTGCACCTATAATATTAATAATAGGTAATATGTTTCACTTGGGAAAAACAGTACAACTATGAGTTGAAAAACTGAAGATAAACTGTACCGCTATGGCACGCTATTGTTCTCCAATAAACCAGTTGTATAAAGCTTGTAAATTGACACGTAATGTGGAAAAAGGTTGCTGACCCCTGCATACTGTGGCAGCCATTTTAAGTGAATATAAAACACACAAAACTGTATTCACACTAAATGACACACACTTCCTCCATAATTGTTCATTTGATTGAAAAGGAGTGACAAGTAGAAAGTTGCCTCATGTATTTAAAGTGTCTTCTTTTGTTAAATAACCAGAAGCCAGATCACCATGATAGGGTCAGTGAATACAGATAACTAAAAGGAGGGTCTTCTATTCAATAGTGACTTCAAAGACCAGAGCTTATCCTGTACAGTGTTGCTGTGTATCCCTGATTGTCTAATGACAGGGGTTGTCCACTAAAACAACAGTATTTTGTTATTGAATTGTAAAGTTTGTCCAAGTACAGTTAGGTTAGCATGGCTCAGCGTGTGCTCTCTGTTTAAAGGCCTCTGGCAAAATCCTGTTGAGATGCTTTGTGATAAATGGCTACTGACAAGAAGGGATACAGAAGTGATGCTACAGGTGATAGCAATGGGTATGGTATACTTTACAAATGTCCCTGTTTTGGTAGAAGACTGGTCTGTCTTACAGATGTCTACTGCCTTGAAGGTACAGTAAAAACATCTCCTATCAGACTAAAGCAATTACTAATTACTTAAAGAACAATGCAACAAATTCAATCTTTACCTTGCAGATTTGTCCCCTGCTCTGGCACCTGCTGGGTGACACTCAGCAAGATCCAATCAGTATGCAGCTTGACCCCAGGCCCCTGCCTTCAGGACAACAAAATCCTACTCCTGAGGTAAAGGCAGGTGTTGTCACTTATACCCTGTATAAGCTGGTGTCACTGACATCCTTTACCAAAAGCAGCTGGAGTACATGTTAATGGATTGCTATCAGTATTGACTGATGTCAACATCTACTGAGGGTTGACCAACATGAGGGCAATGTTTCTAAAATACCAACTCATATTCAGGCAATTACTGAAACAATTGCAAAACATTTAGAGAAGGGAAATACATATTTAACAATGGTTACTTGTGGGCAATACAGTTGTATTTCAATCTGTTAGAGCAGGGGTCTCCAAACTTTCTAAACAAAGGGCTAGTTGACTGTCCTTCAGACTTTAGAGGGGCCGAACTGTGGCCAATGGGAGTAAAAAACATCCCGGCGTTAGTGGGAATAAACATTGCCCCATCTTTGGTGACAGTGGGAAGAATTGCGACCCATAGTTGGTGTCATTGGGAGGTATTGTGCCCCTTAGTTTGGTGTCAGTGGGGGGAATTATGCCTCATTGTTGATATCAGTGGATAAAATAGTGCTCCAAGGGCCGGATAAAAGCAAGCAAAGGGCCACAGTTTGAAGACCGCTGTTTTGGAGAAACAAGACTTGTTGTGAGGCAAACTTTGGAATATTTTAAGACAGCAGACAAAGATAGAATATATAAATAAGATATAGATAATAAAATGTGTATGTAATTGAATTTTTTTAGAGACTAAGCCAAACGGTTGTAAGTGCAGCACAGTGGCTAAGTGGTTAGCACTGTCACCTGGCAGCGCTAGGGTCATTGGCTCAAATCCCAACCATAGCACTACCTACCCAGAGTTTGCATGTTCTCCCTGTGCCTGCGTGGGTTTCCTCCGGTTTCCACCCGCACACCAAAGACATGCTAGTAAGTTAGTTGACTCCTGTCTAAATTGGCCCTAGTATGTGTATGTATGAATGTAAGTTAGGGACCTTATATTGTATACCTCTTGAGGGTTAGGGACTGATGTGAATACAATATATATGTAAAGCGCTGTATAAGTACCTGAAACAATAAATAAATAAAATTATGACAGAAGCATCTTAACCTCCTTAGCGGTGTTCCCGAGTGTAGCTCGGGGTAACATTTTCTATACCAAAAGCGGTAACCCCGAGCTACACTCGGGCTTACCATGCGGTGCTGCTCTGGGGGTCCCTACAGCACTTACCTTGTCCTTCGCTCCCGCGATGTGTCCCCTCCAGCGTCCCCGGCCATCTCCTCCGACCGATGCCGGCGTCCGGCTTCTGTGTTCCGGTCCCTGTGACGTCGGGACGTACGGGTGCCGGAACGGGCGGGAAATTTGAATTTTTTAAAAAAAATGTCATTTTTGCTGTCATTGCTATTTCAATACATTTAACATACATTTTGTCCCTACTACTTTGTCCTGTGCCCTGCCTGCATTTTGAATGTTCTTTCTGACTGGAAACTTAGAAAAGTCCATGGCGTCCAAAAAGCGTCCCTTTACGTCAAAAGCGGTTTTAGAACAGCGATAGTAAATCAGAACCACTTGCAGAATTGAGTGATAATGATTTGTGGGGAAATTCGTCATCAGACACTGAAAACGATTTTGCGACTTTGCTCAGCGATGTGCGAATTTGCCTCTGTATTTCACATTTCAGTGTTTTTGGTTTGATTATATTATTGAATTAAATTTATTATTATTATATTATTATTTTTTATGATTATATTTATTAAATTATAATTTATGATTTTGTGTTTCAAGTTTTATCATATCCGGAATGTTTACTAGACTCTTGTTCAGACAGATTTCAGTGAGTTATTCCTAAAAATTACAGCCTACAATAAAAAACTACATATTTCCATGCAAAAAAATGGTACCGCTTTTAGCACAAAAAATCGGAAAGAATCATACCGCCAAGGAGGTTAATGAAGGCCCCCCTACTCATAAATCATTGTTTTACTACTAGAGACTTCACAGGTGTTCTGTTTACCTGAGTAAGTGTCAAAGATCAATTTTATAACTGATTTTTCTATAGTTACAGATCAACCTTGACACTTTTAAATGCATTAATAGTGCTATTTCATAGCATAACATATGCATTATCATGAGTTGCATTAACCTGCTACATTATGCATTTTAGATGTATTACATTTTTTTAAATCATTGACTTGAACGGTACATTGCAGGTCGACACAACCAAAATTCAGCTTGCAGTACATCCTTTTTTTTAAAGGTTCTAGATTTTTCTCCTAAGTACTGTACATTGTGTTTTGGCTGCACTGCATGCCAATGCACCTTAGTTAGACAAGCCCTAAAATTGTAAATCCCATCTTAAAGGAAAGTCAGTACAGACAGATTATGGAAGTAAACTTACACAATAGCCACAGAAAACCATGACACTATGGTACTCAAATGTAAGTTAAAGGAGGTCTGATGTAGTATACTAGCCTAGTTCCATCAAACCTACCTCCATCCAGATACATATTTATAGGAAAATATTAATTGTTGTAGTGTGCCACATCCCTAAAATACTTAATACAAAAAACACTGGTGGAAGGGACTTTTTTAGGCACAAACAATAATGAACTAACACACATTCACAAGGTACAATATAAAAATATACATTTTATTATACAACATTTTTGACAAAAACTCAATAAAGTGGATGCAAAGGCTGAATGTTTTTTCACCTTTATTCATTCTATGCATGAAGGTAAAAAAACCTTCTGTGTGCTTCTCCCCCACAGGCCCCCCTAATACTTACATGAGCTCCCTCTCAATCCAGCGATGTGCACAGGAGCCTAAGCTATCCATGGGCTCCCTCTCCTCATTGGCTGAGACAGCAACAGAGGAATTGGCTCCCACTACTGTCAATCACAGCCAATGAGGGGAGAACAGGGGACAGAGCCACGGCTGTATGTGTCTTATGGATGCATAAAGCAGGGCTTTTAAGCGAGCACACACCAGTGCCCCCATAGCAAGCAGCTTGCTATTGGGGATACTGGTCAAGGGGGAGGAGCCAGGAGCACCGGAGTGGGACCCAAGAAGAAGAGGAGCAGGGCTGCTCTGTGCAAAACCATTGCACAGAGCAGGTACATATTACATGTTTGTTATTTTAGCCGAACCTTTAATATAACTTTGAGATAAAATCAAAAGTCTGACATTGCAATGCTACATAACAACTAGATGTTTTATGTAAATACTCTGTAGACCACACAGCCTTAGATTTTTATTAAAATACAGACCCTTATGAAGTAACTATGTGGAGACCCAACGCATTTCAAAGAGCTCTTCCTCAGAGAACAGAGTACCCAATGTCAAGGATTGTACAGAAAGGTACCCATCAGCCTTAAATTAAAAACAAAAAGGTTCAGCCAGCCTTGAAAATCTCCTCATCATATGATGCATCAGATCGACATGATAATAAGTATATGCAGGAGGTCTCTCATAAATTCTATAAAGGTGCACTGAAAGAAAAAGAGGGAGATAGCCCAAAATTGTATTAAAAAAATCACCAAAAACATCATATCCTGAAGGAATTGCCCAGAAGCCAAAAAGCAACTGTCAGTTGTCCTCTTTAATCTTGTTGCAAAAATAAATACATCCCAATGAAAGCCTTAATAGCAAAGCTAAATATTAGATGACAAAATCCTAATTAACAAGAATTCAACTATAGGTGAGTCCCTAACTCACATTCATACATACACTAGGGCTAATGTAGACAGGATCCAATTCACCTACCAGAATGTCTTTGGAGTGTGGAAGGAAACCGGAGTACCTGCAGGAAACTCCAGGAAGGTAGTGGCATGGCTGAGATTTGACCCCTTGGCAGCCTCAGATACTTTTCTTACAAATACAATAGAACTGAAGATTAAAGAGGACAACTGACAGTTGCTTTTTGGCTTCTGGGCAATTACCTAGGAAAAATACTATTTTGTGTGTGAAAATGAACAAATCCTGTTTGCAATCAATGGCCCACGTTTGTGGGAGTATTTTGTAGTATAGTGTCCCATAGAAAATGTTGATTCTGAAAGTAAAGGTTTTCTGCCAAATATATTAGGGTGTACTCATTTATGCTGAGCGCTGTACATGCAGAGATGTCTCCTCTCCCCTGTAGAACTGCACCCAGCTCCACAGCCTGCAGACACTATCAGCCCTCCTGGTTGTATAGTGTGCCATAGAAAATGTTGATTCTGAAAGGAAAGTAAAGGTTTTCTGCCAAATATGTTAGGGTGTATTCATTTATGCTGAGCGCTGTACATGCAGAGATGTCTCCTCTCCCCTGTAGAACTGCACCCAGCTCCACAGCCTGCAGACACTGCCTGCTCTCTTGGCTGCTCTAAAGATCTCCCAGGACAAGGATAAAGAATTAAGCACAGCGCTGATCTTTGAAAGCTTGCTACATGTGGCAGACTCTCTCCTTGTGAATCCCAGGGTGTGCTGATGTACTCACTCTGTCTTCTTTGCTCCCACTGCTCCCAGGCCTTGATCCTGTTCATGCCGTACTGCTGAATGAATCCTCCTGAGCCAGCCCGAGCCCAGCCAGGAGGTCAGCCCCCGTAGATCACAGGAACCCCTTCCAGTCTTTTCAGCACTCCACCTTCCACCCGACTTCCCAGCTGGCCTGACCCTCCCACATTTATGGGCTGGTCCGCCACTCTACCAGGACCTCCAAACTTGGGTTGGTTAGACTCAAACATACAGATTAGGTCTCCGCCTCTTCCGCTTCCTGGCTTCTGGAAGGTTCCCATGGTCCTCCAGAACCAGGTGGAGGTGATAGAGTCCCAACCTGTTAAGTCATCCAGCTTGACCTGCAGTAACCATACACCATTCTAGTAACATACTAGTGGGTGCTACACTGCACTGAAGCTCTCACCAGCTGTGCCTCTGTTCAGCTGGAGAGAACTTCAGCCCTTAATATGTTTTTTGTTAAACATTTTTGTTTAATAAAATTTGTAATACATTTTTATATTGTAACTTGTATGTGTTGCTTCATTATTATTTACACCTATAAATTTCTTCCTACAAGTGTTTTTTTCGTACCTCCATTCAGACTAATCTTTCAATTAGAATTGTTAACAAGCAAAAACCAGAATACTTTGTATTGTAAATTGTGGCTGTGCATAAAAAAATTATGTTTAAAAGTTCCTTTTTCTACCCCTGTAAGCAGCAGTAGCAATAGTAGACTTGGTGCAACTTGTAGGTTGTAGATAAAATATTATCTTTCTTGCCAAAAGTGATTGGCTTAATGTCTCTAGGGCAATTTAATAGTGGCGTTCTAGTAGCCTACATATTAATATTCAGGTGGTAACATAAACTTGTGATTCAGGAGCTAAATGGTTTAGGATTAATTCCACTTTATTTATGCGGTTCCTTTGCCCAAATGCATACTAAATTATAAGCAGACCCTTTAGATTTAAAAACAAAAATTTGTTCTGCAGACATTTAAATCGGTTACTTCTGACTTCAGTTACTTTCTTCTATAGTCTGGGTACAATAAAGCAAAAGGAGAGAATGCATATATTTGCATTTATTTGGCACACTGGAAATTGTTCAGGCAAACAACAGAGATCCGTAAAATGCTTAGCTGTAATTAGCATGAAATTGATTAATTGCACTGTCTCATGCACATGTTTCAGAACCCAGGAGATGGTAGCAGGGTATTCCCTTAACCTTACATACTCAATCAGTTCCAAGAGATCTGACAAATGGTACACTCCCTCTATGCTACAACTCTGTACACTGTCTGGTCAGTAGATTAATCTTGTATGCACGTGTACCGACTTCTAGCTTTCGGTTGAGTATGCCCATGTATTGGTATACATCAGTAGTAAGTCAAGTCATGATGATCTGTGAATTTGTCCTAGATCAGAAATTTTTATAGCCAACATAAAAGCCAGTCAACTAGCAATGGCAGCTTCCATGCATCTCTCAGGAAAGTTAACTTTAAAAGTTGTGTTTTTGGAAGATCATTGACAATGAGATGATTGTCATTCCATACTCTGAAATTTTATTGAGAAAGGATTGCTACCAGTCTATGGGATGCCGTCCTACCACAATGACTTTTTTGGCATGTCTCTATTTTAAGAAAAGACCACTGCTGTGGTTGAATTTCATTTAATGTCTGCATTAAACAAATGGACAGTATATGTGTTAAAATGATTGCAATGCAATCTAAAGATCCATGAAATTCTCTCTTAAATCAAATTAACTTTACAAAGACTTGACAGCCATAATTACTTCAAGCCATGCCCTGGCAGACATGGACCGGAAGTGACGTCATGCGGAAGCACTTATCGAGATCTCTGTAACAGAAGCAATTTTTATATTGTAAAAGTGTAAGTGCAATGTATTTTAATAAATATTGCAATGTTTTAACATACTACACCATAAGAGGAGTATTTCTCTCCCCACATATGGGTAAGGTGATAGCGACAGTAGGAGTCCATGAGAGTCT